TTTTCTCTAAATGGAATTAGCAAATTCCGAGATAATTTTTAAATAGGATGTTGCCCACAACTTTAAAAGATGTGAAAAACATTCTGTATGAAAGTGTCAAAAGTGTTGTACACATGGATACTAAAAGATAGATTGGTGAGTTGCCACAGTATCACTAAACTTTGAAAGATAGCTTCATAACTGCTGAAAAAGGAAATTAAAAGTTTCCAGAAAAGTATGATCTGCTCATTAGAAAACAGGACAAGGATCATGAAATGAAAACTGGAAGGACATAAGTAATTTATACTTTGTACCTCCAGTATTTGTTGTTCAGTATCAGACCTGTTGACATAAGTTTTGGAGGACTACCCAGACCTACTAAAGCCACGTAGACGCCAACCATCCTTGAAAAATGAGTGCTTTTAATAATAGGTCTGCAAGATTACTACATGACTAAAGATTTTTGGCTTGTCATTCTGTGTTTAAGTTTCTCATCCTGTAACATATGAATAATCATTCTTTTTACTGTAGCTATTTGAGGGAAAGTCTTTGAAACCAAAGATTTTTTTACATACCGTAAATATGTGGATACATTAAATAAAGTTATTCTACCATGGTGGCATTTACTAGTACAGAATTATAAAATATGTTTTGGTGGAGAACACCTAAGGGCCAAAGTTAATAGAGACTCAACACATTTCTGGTTCAGTTCAAAAGGTGCTTAAACCCAGCAACTCAAGAATGGGAAAAGTCCTTCTCTAATCTAAAATATTTGATCAAACTACAGACATTTTCCTAAAGGCTAAAAGTATTGAATTATTTACCAGATGTGCCACTCTGAAGCAGCTTTAACTGAAATACTTTCTCCTAGACATCTCCAAGGAATTTAGAATTTACATTTTCCCAGAATAACTGCTTCAATCCCCAGCGGGATGTGTAGCCAACCAGCGTTACAAGCAGAGATGTTGCATGTTTTCTTGGTGATACCTCACCCCCAGAGCTGGTCACTTCCTGTGCCCCCACCCTCTGGTTCAGGGTGGCAGCAGCAACAGTTGGTTGTCTGGTTTGTTAACTGACAGCTAACCTGGTTCCCAAGGAGCAATTAATTTCTCAGCTCAGTGCCTCGGACAGATGCTTCTCTCCGCCTGACTTTACCATGGCTTTGGTCAGAGTGATGCAGAGAACAGCCTGTGAAGTGCTTGTACCATGATCTCTCACTGACTCAAGTTGAACAGATGATTAGTGCTCTTAATCAAATCAAAAGGAGCTGAAGGTTTTAGCCCTTTTTAAGAGGCTTTCAGCCCAGTAGCTAACAGGATCAATCTCTAAATGCATGAGTAATAATTTATTTTCTTTTATTCCCTTTGATGTCTGAGAACAATGCTCTTTACTGTGCTGACAAACACACCAGCAAAATTGAAATAGAAGAAAAGCAGCAAAGAAGTGCTGGCAATTTAACTGTTCTTTCCTGTGGGTGCAGTCAGTTTTGGTCAGACACATTTATCTGGTCACCTTGACTCCTCTCAGACTCCATAAAAATTTTCTCTTGTGACTATAAACAATGTAAAAAATTGGAGGAATAGTTTTGTAAAGGTCTTGGAAGCAGAGACCTTTCAGACCTTTTCAACTTTAAAAACTCATTGAAGCAATCTTTTGAGTTACTCAAGTTTGCTAACCATAGAGCTAAATGAGATCACAAGGATCACCCCTGTAAAAGGGTCTGGAATTATTGTTATTGTCTGAAAAAGACTGCAATATCTTGGACAAACCCTTCAACAAGCAGATGGATTGAATCCAGAATCTGACATTTCATTCAGCAACAGCAGAAAATGATTCCAGGCTCATACCTGTCTGCTTAGCAAAGCTTAAATTTTGAACTGAGGGGAAAAATTCTGAAAATCATAACCCTAAGAATGATGCCTTCGAAGCCTTCAGAACAGGATATATTGAGTCAGGAGGAGAAGAAAAAGTGGTCCTTTCATCATGCAAAGAATGGAGAAAAGGAGGCAAAGAAACTAGGAGAGAAGATATATTCCTGGCAGGAAAGTTTTTCTGAAATGGCAGCCTGTAAAATGTCTCAATAAAAGTGAGTCATCACTTCATGAGCACTGTAAGCATGTGTCCTTATCATGAATCTTTCTCTGTTGTAATATCTTGCTGCCTTAAAGAGCTCGAATCATAGCATTATGGAAGACGGGCTGAAAACTTTAAAAATAATAAGAACTAACCTACAAGGGCATTTTCACCCAAAGCAGGCAGAAGAATTGCAGGAAGGAGTCCTGTAACATTGAACAGATAGACTTCTAGTAATCTGAAATAAAAAAGTACATTGCCTTTAGATACTGTTTTCTGAACAGTAAGTCTGCTACCTTGTAAGTAAAGACAGGTCATATTTTAGTTCTTTTCTGGCTCACTAAGTCTTTGCCTGTTGAACTGTACATTCAGTTTCAGAAGGGAGCATTAAAGTTTGCACCTCACAGTACAAACACAAATGAAGCACCTGGAGTCTCTTCAGACTCCAGAAGCTTAGCACATACCAGGTCCAGTGGAGTGAGAGCAAACAGCACAATCTGGTAAGTGTCCAAGGGACAGACTGACCTGGTTTGTGGCAGCATTAACTCATGTATTACATTGTGTTTTATTTGGTCATGACAGGTGTGACTGCAGTTGGTTTGACATTTCTAAATCTTTATAAAGGTTATGTCTGTATATGGCCCTTGAAACCCATGGTTTAGTAGGTATTTACTTACAAGTTGATTCCCACAAAGGACTCAGGTAATGTTCAACAGAGTGCCTAATTGTAATTAGAGAAACCTTAGGAGATTTATTTATTGTGATGAATAATTTATCATGTTAACATTATTACTCAGAGTTGGATTGTAATGATATCAAATACAGTCATGAAGGAAGAAGAATGCTTCAACAGTATGCTTTTGTTCTCTAGAAAACTTTGCTGCAGAATAATTTTTCAGGATGTTACAGAAGAACAAAAAATAAAGCTCACAGTACTTTGAAAAAAGGACAACATTTGAATGGGAAGAACATTTTAATAGGAAGCAGAACAGAAGAAGTTAAATAATGTAGAAAACAAAGAAATCTTTGAATTTGTAAAGCAAGGTGTACCTCTACCAGAATCATCACTGTATTCATATCCAAATTTTCCTTTATACAAAGCCTCCCATCTTCTGTTAGTCTGGAAATCAAAGCAGATGATCAAGATTAAATTACTTGAAATGCAAGCATTCATATAGAGAGTCATTTTTTCAAGAAAACTTCCTTCCTGAGGAAATTTTAGAGACAAACATCAGTGCTCCATAAACATCATCACAGCACTTAACAGTGTTTACATGTTTCCTGACAATCCAACACCGTGGTGGTTTTGACCAGAAAAAATGGTTACATCTAGGTTTAACTTGCCACATATAAGCACAATCTATATATCTCAATTGGCAATCAATAAACAGAATTCTACCTAAATTCAATGTAGAATGCAGAAGAATGAGGATTAGTTGGTTACATTCTAAGCCAAAAGGCTTCTACATAGAACTTTGATTTCAATAACTTCCCTGGGTAATTACACACTGAGGCAAGGGGGCTTTAAAATCCCTCTCTGTAGGCTCAGGGCAGTACCGCAGAGTGAAGAGCATGATCTTCTCACAATAAAAAGGTGGAATATTGCCAAAGGACTATTTTATGTGTATTTCAACAAACGCTTTGTTTGTTTGTTTGTTTGTTTCTTGGGGTTTTTTTGGGTGTGGGAGGAGGTTGTCATGCTGAATTTTGTCATAGAAAGGTAACCTGCGGTGATCAAGAGAATGAGATACACATTTCTTGTATATATTTCTGTTCATGATTTCAATATCCTCCAATTAACAAAAAATACAGCTCAAACAGAGATGAAGTTCCTTCTAACCAAATCATTCCAATTTTGCTTAGTAAGTTTTTCTTTATCTTCTAGAGCATCTTTGCTGCTTTATTAAAACTCTTTTCTTTAGGAATAATATCTTCACAGCAAACTCATTAGACTTCATTTCAACTCACAACGATTTTAGTTGCTTAGCTTGGTGAAGCTGTTACTTGACTTCATCCAGAACATTTCAAAACTGCACATGAACAGTTGGCTGTCTGCTGTGGGGGACGTTCCACTGGATCCTGAGCCTTTGAACTTAGTTAGTCCCTTTGATCTGGTTGAACTGACCTGTACCGTAAAATCACTTAATTTCTTGCTGCCAGTCATATCCACCTTTCCTCATGGGCCAGGAACTATCTCCATTCACTTGCATTCTAAATATTTGTCTATACATACAGTTTTTCAATAGAGTTATATTGATGAGTCCCCAGTGTGTGGAGACAGGATTTACCAGCAGAAGTTCTTATTTCTGAGTCTGGTTTTAGATACTGGCTGTTTTCTTCTGGGTTTTTTCTGGTTTGGATTGGTAGAGCTAAAAATGAATGAGGGTGCCTTTGTGGAACCTGTCATTATGGAACTCAGTACAAATTGCACCAGATGAAAGCCTAGAGCAACTATTGTGGGAAACCACATAAGAACCACTCTGTGTATATTTACACAGCAGCCTATAAAATTTTATTCAGATCTGAAATATGAGTATGACCTTCACAATCTTCCTCTGTAATTTGAAAACATAGAAGTACAGTCTAATGTATCTTTTTTAGCTCAGAGAACACGTTCTTC